CTCAGCATGTGACCAGGATCAGGGCTCAGCATGTGACCAGGATTAGGGCTCAGCATGTGACCAGGATCAGGGCTTAAGAGTGTGACCAGGATCAGGGCTCAGCATCAGGGCTCAGAGTGCGACCACAATCAGAGCTCAGCGTGTGATGAGGATCAGGGCTCAGTGTGTGACCAGGATCAGGGCTCAGAGTGCGACCAGGATCAGAGCTCAATGTGTGAGCAGGGTCATGGTTTAGCATGTGGCTCATTTCAGGGAAATCTGTAACCAATATCAGGGAGATACTGTATGACCAAGTCTGGGCTCAGTATATAGCCAGGGTCAGGGTTGCTCAGTATATGACTAGGATTAGGATTCAGTATGTGACTGCAGTCAGGGGTCAGCCTGTAATTAGGATCAGGGTTCAGCATGTGACCAGCATCAGGGCTGAGCGTGTGACTAGAACTAGGTCTCAGCATGTGAGCAGAATCAGGGTTCAGTGTATAACCAGGATCAGGGGAATGTTCGGGGCTTAGTGTGTGAACAGGGTCAGATCCCAGCATGTGAGCAGAATCCGGGTTCAGTGTGTAACCAGGATCAGGGGAATGTTCAGGGCTTAGTGTATGAACAGGAACAGATCCCAGCGTGTGAGCAGAATCAGGGATCAGACCCAGTTAGAGTCAGGGTCCAGCAGGTGACCAGGGTCAGGTTTCAGTATCAGGTGGGGTAGAGGATCACCCACCCCATGGAAGCCTACCTGCACATCCCCAGGGGTGGGGCTGTAATAGGCCCTCCGGAAGATCTCTGTCATGTTTCTCAGGACATCGATAGTGGACAGCAGGTCCCCGCTGTAGCTGGCCCCATCCTGGGAGATCTCCACCAGCGTCTGGATGACCTCTGAGACCCCCTCCCCTGGTAGTCCACGCTGAGCCTTTGCCAAGTGCTCCCGGGTCTGGGGAGATAAAAGATCAGGGGCCATCAGCCCCACAGGACACATCACAGCCTCTGCAGCCCCAATGAGGCCAGGGCCACTCATGTCCAGGAGCGCAGGGCTGCTGGTAGTGAGGGAGGCCTCCATCATCTCACCATCATCTGGATGTTGCGATAGTCAATGGAGACACAGCGGATGTAGGTAGGGGGCTCCCAGTAGGCAATGCCTTCCTCATCCAGCTCACAGCGCCGCAGGATGAGGCCTGGTGGGCAGAGGGACAGCCGGTCAGCTTGTCCACTTCCTCCTCCCCCATCTGGGTGGCTCTCCAGACCGGAAAAGCCTCCTGACTGTCAGGTCTCCACATTGCTCTTCATTCCACATGTTTCTGATTGGCTACTGCCAGCCTAGGCCAGGTACAGGGGTCTGGCAGGAACCAACCCAAGTACCAAGTGGAGACTTCAGCCTGGACTCTTCCCAGCTCTTCCACTCAGAGCAGAGAGATGACGCCAGGCTCCGCCCAGCTGCAGGTGACCTGTGGGGTTCCCCGGATGGCTTTGGGGGAAGCAATGCTGGAATCTCACTCCCAGGAACCAGACGTTCAAGCAATAGGAGACTGCCACAACCCTAGCACCCGACAGGAAGTATGGGCAGAAAGGCCTGGGGCCCTGGTGGCGCAGGAGGATAAGTACTGGACTACCAACTGCAAGTCTGGTGGTTCAAATCCAGCAGGCACTCCTTGGGAGAAAGATAAGGCGTCCTGCTCCTGTAAAGACTTACATTCTCGGGAACCCTAGATGGGGTGTCAGAGTCAGATCTGGCTCAATGATAATAGGTAGATATTAGGGAAGGGCCCTAAGTGGTGCAGTGGTTAAGCTCTCAGCTGCCAACCTAAAGGTCAGCAGTTTGAACCCACCAGCCACTCCACAGGAAACCAGGAGAGTGCTTCTGTGAAAGTTTACAGACTTGGGAACTTTGTGGGGCAGCTCTGCTCTCCTACGTGGCTGCTACGGTCAGAGTCAGCTTGCAGACAGTGGGTTTGGGTTGGTTTAGGTGTCGGGGCCCAGGGAATGCTCCCAGTTTAAACATTACAGCAGAAGGCTGGGGATGATGCAGCATGGGCATGAATGGATGAAGAAACCCCACAAGCAACAGGTGCCACACACAGGGGCCAGCAGCCAGGGCAGTGGCGGCTTCGGGGGCTTTGGTTTTCAGTTTGAGTTTTGGAATTGGGAGTGGGCTGCCACAATCAGATTGTTGCTGTTGTTGTCCAGTGCCATCGAGTCAGTTCCGACTCCCAGTGATCCTGTATAGGGTTTCTAAAGAACGACTGATGGCTTTGAACCACCGACCCTGTGGTTAGCAGTTTATCCTACAGAGCCACACCAGGACTCCAGATAGTATTTTACAAACAACAGAGGGAACAGGTACCTGGGAAATCAGAGCTTCACACACTGGCCAAGCCCTGCTGTCCGGCCTCTGAGGACCCCTCAACAGCCCTTGATTTATAGCAGAGAGCACACTCATAGAGTGTGGATGATATAGCACAACAGGGAGGATCCAGGGTCGGAACCCAGGTACCTGGTCCAGCCAGACTCCCAGCCTCCCCCCACCGCCACCTCCTGATAGGAGGCCCACTTTCCCCATCCCCGACTCTGCTCCACCACACAGGGGCTGACAGGTCAGGACCACGGGGGTGAAACAACTTCCCATAATGACTGGACAAACCCAGGGGTACTGTGAGAACATTCTCTGCCTTGACCTCCCCTCTGACACTGAGCAGTGATGGTGCCCCTTGTCGGGGACATGGGGGTGCTGGTTCCAGGTGACTGCTCAGATCACGGTGACTACTGTGATCCCCAGAGGTTGGCTGGGCTCAGCCCCTCGAGCCGGTAGGAGCTGTAGGGAGGGTGAGGAGCCCTCATGCCTCACCTTCACCATGACCTCACCTGTGGCGTTTCGAGGACATCGAACAGTAGCCACCTCCCCTGCTGGCGTCTCCTTCCACATTATAGTGCCAAAGGTGTCCTCGTCACAGATCTCATGAGGTTCTGCCAAGGGCCAGACACGGTGAGCAGGGCTGGGGGCTCGGGATGGGGCACTAAGAATGGGGGAACTCCAGAACAAGAGCTGGAGTCCTTCCAGGAGCCTTCTTCCCGGGGGGTATTGGGGCTATCACAGAAGCAAGCCCCCCAGGTGTCCCACCCCTGGCAGAGAGGGGACTCACCAGGACACCGCTGGGCACTGCACTGCCGGTACTCCTCCTGCGGACCCTGGCAGGCTGCTCCCCCGAAGAAGGGTCCCAAGCAGGCACGCTCCCGGCGCTGAGAGCCACCCCCGCATGTGGTGCTGCAGCTGCCCCAGGATGCCCAGGCCTGCCACTTCCCATCCACTGTGAGCACAGGCGCAGACAAGGAGACCCGGAAGCAAACACGGGGGGTCAGGGATCATTGAGATACTAGCCCAGAGACATAGCACCCCAAGGACTTCAACACCCAGGGAGGGACACCGAGCCCCCAGAGTACAGAAACATGGGGTGAGAGAGCCACAGAGGCACAGGATGGTGGACACACAGGCATGGGTGATGGGCACACTATGATGGGGGCGCACAGATATGGGGTGACAGGCACACACAGACATGAGATGTCGGGGACATGAGGACATGGTGACAGGAACACACAGACATGAGATGTCGGGGACACAGAGTGATGAGGACATGGTGACAGGCACACACGGACATGAGATGTCAGGGACATGAGGACCTGGTGACAGGCACACACAGACATGAGATGTTGGGGACACAGAGTGATGAGGACATGGTGACAGGCACACACGGACACGAGATGTCGGGGACACAGAGTGATGAGGACACGGTGACAGGCACACACGGACATGAGATGT